ATTGTGTGCAACTGCATGATTTCCTCTGATTCCTGCCACGAGATAGTGTCTCTCTTTCAACTCCTTTTTGGTCTCCACCAGCTTCCGAGGGAAATGTTTTTAGCCGCTATGAGCTGCTAAATGGTCCAAATGTGCACCAGCTCAGCTGACAAATAGGTCCTCTCTATAAAGTTTTATTGTCACACTCAGTGTGTGTTTGCTCCTAGTTATACTGAATAAAATGTCTCCACAAACTACAAAGTAAAGGCAGCTGGGACTGATGCATGATGGGAGCGATCGGTTCAAGATGGCACCACAGGGAAGCCGATTCCTCATTCTCTTTTCATCTCCAAATATAAATCTACCATCCATCCACGTGCTGTCTCCTCCCCATTCTTTCCTGACTATCCCCCCTTCTTTTCTTCCTCTCTCCCTTTTTTCTGCCTCCTTTCATCCTTTTCCTCCCAATGCCTTTAACCTTTGGTCTCCTTGTCTCTCACCTCCTTCTTTCCTTTTCCTCTTGCCTTCCCCTTTCTACTCCTTTTGTCTCCTTCCCTACCTGCCTCCTTTACCTCCCTCCTTCACTCTCGTCTTCACCTTTGCTCCCTTCTTCCTTCCCTACTCCTGTCCCCCTTTTACTTCTGTCCTTCTTTCCTTCCCTTGGGGTTAAGGTTAGGGGTTACTCTCACCATCCATGCATGCAGTCCTTTCCTCCCCTATTTCCTTTTTTGATGTACTTCCCTATTTTCTTTGTTTCTTCTCCTCAACTTTCATCCTCTTCTTCATCAGCTCATGTCCCCCCTCCTACTCTTCTCTCTTTCTGTCCCTGTCCGTCTGTCCTTCTTTGACACCCTGCTTCTATCTCTTCCTGATTAACCCCCCTTCTTCCTTTACGTCTGATCTACTTTTACTTTTTCTTTCCCCCCATTCCCTCTCCTTCCCACTTCTCTATCCAGTTTCATTTCCATCCTTCTTCCATTTCTTTCCTCTCTTTTGATCTAGCGCCCCCCCCCCTACTCCCCCCCCCCTCTAATTGCTTGCAGGAAGGTGCCAGATATTGTGAGGTGTAATGTGCTGTCTGATTCCTCTCTTAGCGTTCTTAAATGATCGCTATTTATTTGTCAAGCCAAGCGATGAGCGCTAATTAAGGAGAAATGCTTTGAACTGCTTTGTGTGTGTGTGTGTGTGTGTGTGTGCGTGTGTGTCTGTGTGCGTGTGTGTGCGTGTGTGGAGCGGTAGGAAGACGGAGGAAGTTGTCATTGGCAAGTCGATCCCTCGCTGCTTTGAATGCTACTGCAGGCAGATGTGTGTGTGTGTGTGTGTGTGTGTGTGTGTGTGTGTGACAGTGAGAGAGTGTGTACTTGTTGTTATTTGTCCCTGAGGTTTTTTATTCCTGTGACATCATTCTAAACACACAAACAATATACAATACACACACACACACACACACACACACACACACACACACACAGCAGCTCGCCCCCCCCTTTGGTAAATGTGGGGCGCGGCCTGTTGAGATGGTCCGGACCAGTTGAGAAGCCTGAGATGACTGTGTAAACATCCTTTGTTGACGAGTTACAGCTGTAGTTGACCTCTTTTAAGCCCCGCCCCTTTTTGGTGGAACAATCTTGGGACTCACTACTTAAACTTCCCCTCCGATATTAGATTGTATGTTACTTCTGTCTGATTCAAATGTAAAGAACATTTCAAAAGGCCCCTTCACCCATGCGCCCCCTAGGGGGTCGTCGTGGCGAACCGTAGGGTTGGTGGTTCGATTCCAGGCTGCTCCATGTTCCATGTCGAAGTGTCCCTGAGCAAGACACGTGACCCCTCATTGCTCCCCGAGCAAAATGTGAAACAGAGTTTGAAGTGTAATGTAAGTCGCTTTGGATAAAAGCGTCTGCTAAATGACCTGTAATATAATAATAATAATAATAATATCATGTCAAATCCAGCAGATAGAAGGAAGAAACATGATACAAAAAGGGTTTCTGGAAATGAAGACACTTAATAATGTAGTGTTTCTTGATCACTGTCTCTGACATCAGTCAGTCAAGATAAAAACTGCAAATTCATTCCTCAAATGGAATTAAGGATTTTAGTGGCCAACAAAAGGATTTAGTATGATGCTGCATGGTGCTAAGAACATCTGTGAATTGATTTATTAGTTGATCGGAATAAAATGGATAGCTTCCATGATGTTAAGTCAAGAGAGAATACGTGTGAGATGTCCTGCTTTTCTCTGGTTAATCCCATAAATCTTTGCGTTCTGAGAACTTTCCAACTTCTTTTTGTACCTTTGAAGGTGAATGTGTGAACTGATGAGTCAGACGATGTGTGTTCCTGCTCCGCTAGGACTCCACTTCTATTTGTGTCTCTCTGCTGGTTGCTCTCTGTTTCTGGTAGCAGCCTCAGGAGGGTGTGTGTGTGTGTGTGTGTGTGTGTGTGTGTGTGTGTGTGTGTGTGTGTGTGTGTGTGTGTGTGTGTGTGTGTGTGTGTGTGTGTGTGTGTGTCAGCTGTAAGGAAGCTGGCGTACAGGTGCGCCGCTGCCTCGCAAGCACTTCCTGGTAATTAATGACTCCTTCCTGTTCCCTCTCTCTGTCTCTGTCTCTGTCTCTCTCTGTGTCTCTCTGTCTGTCTCTGTCTGTGTGTGTCTCTCTGTCTGTCTCTGTCTCTGTCTCTGTCTGTGTCTCTCTGTCTGTCTCTGTCTGTGTGTGTCTCTCTGTCTGTCTCTGTCTCTGTCTGTGTCTGTCTCTCTCTGTCTCTCTGTATGTCTCTGTCTGTGTGTGTCTCTCTGTGTCTCTCTGTCTGTCTCTGTCTGTGTGTGTCTCTCTGTGTCTCTCTGTCTGTCTCTGTCTGTGTGTGTCTCTCTGTCTGTCTCTGTCTGTGTCTGTCTCTCTCTGTCTCTCTGTGTCTCTCTGTCTGTCTCTGTCTGTGTCTGTCTCTCTGTCCCTCTCTGGTAATCTATCTTAGCTAATATCATCTCTGTGAGCAGCTGGGTACCGAGGCCCAGTCAGCTCAGTGAGACACAGACCTGTGTGTGCGTGTGTGTGTGTGTGTGTGTGTGTGTGTGTGTGTGTGTGTGTGTGTGCGTGCGTGTGTGTGTGTGTGTGTGTGTGCGTGTGTGTGTGCGTGTGTGTGTGCGTGTGTGTGTGTGTGTGTGTGTGTGTGAGGGACATACAGAGAAAACAAGAAATGTAAAATGTAAATAAACAAGCAAGTGAGGAGAACGATGGAAAATATATATTATCTATATCCTACGTATATATTCTGGAGCTGTGCAGAGCTGTGGTCACTTATGCACCTCTCGGATTGGCCCAACACGTTCCTCAGTCTCCTCCTCGGTCTCCCTTCCTCCCTTGACTCATGACCTTTACATCAATAAGTCTGTTTAGGACCTTCTGACAGCTCTCCTTCCAATGACAGCACACAACGTGGCTTCAGTGGGCGGGAGAGAACGAGACCAGCAGGTACATAGAGATGGATGCAGTGAGAGAGAGAGACGGACGGGTGCTCGTCTGGTTGCCGGGGTGACCGGCCCGCCATCGATGCTCAAGTGCGAGCAGGAAAAAACAAGAAAAGGGAAAAAAATCACCACATTCAGCGAGACCTTTTTGTTTTAGAGGGAACCCCCTTTTACCCCCAATGACACACTGCAACACACACACACACACACAGGAACCAGTGTGTCACTGTGTGTGTGACTGACTTTATTTAAGACAAGGGCCCTTTTGTCTTAAGCTGGAGAATGGCAGTGAGGACGCGGCTGGCCCTGTAATTGGCCTACTTAGGCCCTGCTTAGCATGAGAAAAGCCTTCACTTGGCCCGGCACTGCAGAGCTAACTCTTGTTTTCAGAGGACGGACGCGACTGATCAGAATTCAGATCAGCTCCCCAAAAAACACCCATCCGTACCCCCTCCGCCAAGTGCACTACCCCCCCTCAGCTGGAGGCACTACTCACTAATTATTAACGACTAAGCTGGGAGAAAAGTCCGGACTCTACTGGAGTGGAGGTCGGGTCTCTGTAGGCGGGTCGGGGGTCTTTTATTCTCACGCTCTCTTCCCTTTTCCAAGCGGCCCGACGCCACTTGTTGCCAGCGAATCACTGAACTTAATTAGCGGGACAATGTGCGAGCGCTTCGCTGAGCTCCAGCCGTGAACACAGTCACAGCGTTAGAGGAAGGAAGTTAGACGGCGAGCCGGCGAGGAGCCGGCGAGGGGAACCTCTCCACGCCGAGCAGCATGAGGTAAATACCGTCACGCCGGGGGCTCGGCGTCCGAAGCACGAGACACGGCTTCAGTGTCTGTTCTCAGTCCGTCGGCTTTATCTTTTTGTGCCTTATTTCTATATAGAACACGAATAAACATCTTTACCCATGTAGTGCTAATCACCAACACGCTTCATGTATGACGGGTGGCTCCATCTCACTGCATGAACTAAGGCGCTCTGCGAGGGTTAGAAACACACTCAACATCCTGTCACCGTTATTTGGTGTAACCTTTTTAACAAACAGCATTACTAATATTCCTGTCAACATGAAATGCATCAAATACTTCAGCTCAACAATGAACATTCTGATCAGCAGCGTGTCAGTTAACGCTCGATTGGAATCAACATCTCTCAACATCCTGAATACGGCCGACTACTCTCACTCATCCACAGTCGCTTCCATCCAATTGTCCTCATTCCAGCTGCCACTTCGCTTTTCAGCTCATTTCCAACATCATTTTTAAATGCAACATTCCAGCAATCAATCGTCTATTTGATGGTTAACGTTTCGAGTAACGATGGTCAGCATCTCGACTCCAACAACCGCTTCTGTCCTCGACACGCTGAGCAACGGATGTGTGTGCTTCCATCATCCTGCGGGCCGGTACCGGATTCCGCTGTGACCGGCGTCTCAGTCCTTCCTGCTTTGTTCTCATTCCCTGGTGAAAGAAGGCTGCATCCCTTCTGCTCTTTGACTCACAAGGCGCATGATTGACAGTCCCTCCCTCTCTCTTTGTTTCTGTGTCTCAGTCGGCGCTGGGTGGCGAGATGGGTTTGGGGAGTCCCGGCGCTGCGTCGCCCACCAAGCCGGCCGGTCACTACTACCAGCACTACGGCTCCAACCCGCGGCGGAGAGCGCTGCCTATGGACGCCATGGGTGAGACGCTCAAAACACATCCTCCAAAACCACTGCCAAGTCAACTCGATCAGGTTCAGCTCCCCGGACCCAATAAAACATGCAACCGCATAATAAAGAGGTTTAAATTTGTCTTATTAATCCCTCGTGTCAGAAGCCCCCGAGCTGGGCTCAGGGGGAGCTTGCTTGAACGTACCGGTGGTAATACGAGTTTGTCAGTCTCTTTTATTCAGATTACAGACCCATATAAACAAAGTTAAACTACAAATCTCTGCAATCTGTGTTTGTATCAAATACTCTTTGGTTCTAAATGAAATATAAGATACCAGATGATGAGCTCCTGGAACCTCATGAGCACTGAACAATTCTTCAAATTGTCTTTGTGTAGACCTTGATTTATACTACATTATTTATGTAATGTCTTTAAAGCCTGTCTGCCTTTATATACGGATATATACGGGAAAACTCATTTTCTGTGACCTCGGTGAAACATTTAAGGAATCAGAAAAAATGTATTTGCCAAAATATGCCAAACATACAAGGAATTTGTCTTGGCGGTTGGTGCGCGACTGATAAGCTGGACTGATCTGTCTTCTTATTTTTTGGAGTCCGTGTCCGCGTGTGACGGTCCTGTTGATCCGTGTTTGTGTCCGTGTCTGTTTTGAGGGAACTTTATCCCTCTAATAACACTGGGGCCCTTTAGCCGCCGCGGCGTAGCCTTGGTAGCCTGAGCCTTGGAAGGACACTCGATTCTGGGCCAATTTCTGATTTACAAAAAGGCAGTCATTCATTTTTCCATCAAAGTCTCACCTTCCCAGTTAATAGACAGCTTGTCCCTCCCCTTGAGAGAAACCCTGAAAAATAAAATAAACATGTCAAAAGCTGCACTGCCTCCATTTATCAAACCCAAAAGAAAAACTCTCCCACGTCCTTTTTTGTGTGTTGTGTCTTTTTTATTAGCAGTGGCGCATTGCGTCGCGCTTGTTTGCAGTGACAGCTTTCTTTGTCAAATATTTCCACGGCGGTGGGAAAAGCGGCCTTGCTCTGTTTCCCCTCAGGGGATCGATTCAATTCAAACAAATAAAAAACAGAATCTCCTTTCCCAAAAGGAGAAAAGGGACCCTCAAGAATTGTTTGTTCTTTTCTCTTTCAGAGGTTCACCCAAAGAAAGTGCGGAAGGTCCCTCCCGGCTTGCCGTCCTCAGTAAGTGATGATGACTTCTGTTTTAAATGCTCGTGTTTCTGCGGTGGTTTTGCAAATGGAGACGAGCTGCTGATGCTCCAGCGTGTTGGGAAGGCCGAGCTGCTAAACTAGGTTGCCGGGTTCTGTGAGTCTGTTGGGGGGAAGATGAGCCCAGCCTTCTTTTGGGGGGGGGTCGACTAGACGTTCTATCTGTCTTTTGATTTGTAGTTGTATAAAAGGCACAACCTTAATAATATTGACTGAAAAAGGAAGAGAAAAATATCCATACAAGCGTTGGATTGAATATTGGTGTTGGATCTTTGGCATCGTGGGCTAAAGCTGCCGGCTGGAGGTTGTTCTCCCTTCAGTGGTTTGGAAAGGACGGATGTCTTGAGAGAGGTGGAGTCGTGAAGAAAGAAAAGCTGCACACGTTGCCAGACTTGTGAATTTGCTGCTGTCGGAGCCGGACACAAACAGCTGTCGGCTTTGTGCTGCCCTTCCTGTAGTATTTGGACTCTTCTCAATGAAGAAATTAGGTTATTTCAGAAAAGATTGAAATAAATGGTGCATATTTTTGCTTTATTTCCCATTCAGCATTTCGAAGCAGAATGCAAACATTTAGTAGAAGATTTAACCGACAATATACAAATGACAAAATACAAATTGAGACATTTCTGTAATGTTTATTTGCAATAAAAATATATACTTACTTGTGTTTTAATCTGCTTATACAACTGTATAATTGTATAGGATATTTATAGATATAAGTAGCCCTAATCAAATTAAAACTAAGTATCAGTATGCTTTATAATTCACAGATATTATTTTTGCAAACATTAAGGTATATTATAATTAGTTATAATACATTATTATATATATTTTTTATAATCACGGATATAATGCAATATGAGGTTATATTAAGTAGCAGTTGTTTGTCAATTGAAAATGTAAATGAAAGGATATATAAAGCGTTATTACGATCCTTGTAGAAAAGGAAATGTCAGTAAGTGAATTATGACTCTACCTTATGAGTCACTATATACGAGTCACGATTAGTATAAAGTATTATTCATTTGTATAAGTGCGTGTCACTCCATACAGCCGGATCATAGTGTAATACACCTTTAGAGGTTTGTATACTGCTGGGAAATACTCGCTGGGACTCATTAAAGTAGCTGTTTGTCAAGAAGGAGCATGATGATCACTATCATATGCGTGTGCTAATTTCCCCAAAAATTCCTTAATACGTTTATTCATCTATCGGGTTTTGGGAAGTTTTGCATTGAAAGTCTTTCTGGTTGATGTGTTGCTGGTTGGAGGCCTTGAGGAATGAACTCAGTGAGATCTGTTCGACCTACATCAGCATTTACTGCTCTTCTCCGTCGTATCTCAGTGGAAACTCAATTTACACTTGGCCAGTCCAAACAAGACATCTCAAGTCACATTGGTCATCTTTATGCTGTTGCATTGAATTATTCATTCTCTCAATCTGTAGTTCCAGCCCTAAAGAGATCAGCTATTGATCACGCCATTACCGTAAAGGATGTTTAAAAAAAAGATAATCGTGTCCCACTCAGAGGTTTACGCCTTTCTTTGTTTCCATGTCGCGGCTTCGATTCACTGATTCTGCTTAGTGACTCCAACCTCTGCTGAAGGTAGTTGATTGATCAATTACTAGAAGAATGTCTTTTTTATCACTTTCAGTTGTGTTGTGAATTGTGAATATTTCCACGTAGGAGTTGCTGATATTCTTTGTTTCCATATGACTATACAAGTAATTTATCTTTGGGTTGCCGTTGATAGCAGCAAATAAAGGACAAGAGTATTTTCTTACAATGAAACTATTTATTAAAGTAGTCTTCTATTACCATCGGCTGTTCAATGTATTTATTTCTAATGTGAATTCTGAGGTGTTTTTACACGTGGGGAGTTTTCTCTCTGCTGCTGACCTCATTAACAGCCAGTTAACGCTGACTGAATGTACGGCACGTCGGCCCCCTCTTCGGCTCGGCGGGGGTCCGCCTTTCTGTGGCCCCGGCCCCTTTGTCCTCCCCTTCGCTGTGTCTGCAGCTCAGGAAAAGGAGAAGCACGGTGTGTGTGACGTGGACTGATGACACATAGAATCACGTTCAGGTTCAGATCAAGGCAACAACACTGTGTCCTTAGCTTTAGTAACTGATGGAACTACTTTGTTAGATATAACAATTTAATGCTAAACTCGGGCAACAAAACTATATCGGAAGTTTTAACAATTTAACTTTAGGTTTAGGTACCCACATGACGTCATGTCATTAGGTTGTTGATTTCTGTCGATTTTGTGATTGAGGAGCTACTAGACCTTTTACGTAAGGTTGTTCATCTGAAAGGACTTAACGTTTGTGCCACACATCCCTCCGACCGGTTCCCCTCCTGACTTTGATTCAAAGGCTGTCTTCTGGTATCGGTCCGTGGTGCCAGCACAGCATGTTATCCCAATGCTGTCCAATCACAAGTCGACGGTACATCAGTTCACACCCTGAACGTGTCTCGAACGACCACTTGTGATCACATTGCACTTCCCTGCTTTTGTACGCGAAAAAACAGGTACATCATTGTGTTGGAACAACCAAATACTGGTTTTGTTTAACCAGAGGACGGCAGCGATGCCCCTCCTGGCTCTATTCTGCCAGCTATGAAAACCAGACGACAAAATAAAATAACATACCAGCTGCGTCTGGTCCGGGCTGTTTTTGAGGCAAGCCAAAAGATGTTTGACACAGTGGTGATGAACTGAATATCTCGGTGGGCTTTCAGAAAGTGGACAAAAAACAGCTAATGGCAGATGACATTGTTTCCTTCTACGTCCTCGTTGTGAATGAACCAAGAGTCATTATTGTGTACTCTAAATATAATATCAGGTGAAATGTAATCCAGAGCATTTTGGAAAAGGGTTTGAGGAGGAGCGTAATGCGTTTTGGTGGATCTTTACGCTTGTATTCAGCTCCGTTCCCTTGCGATGTGAATAGCAGTAAAAGTACCTCGTCCAATTTCTGATTTGAAAGGTTTCATTTTGAACCAGCAAAATCAGGAAATGTTGGGTTTGTATTGGCAATAATACAAGAAGAGGCCGATAGCAGGTCTCAGCTGGGTTCCTTCCCTCCGCTCTTTCCTCTGCATGCCAGGCCACATACGCATGTGGTTTTGGCTTGACGGATTCCAACGCAGTTTTTTTTGTCCTGGCTTGATTGGACGATAAATGTTCCGCTGATAAGACCATTGTAACCACGGGACAACCGCGGGAGTGTTGTGTCTGCAGTCACAGGATCCAGCTTTTGGCTCCCTGTCTTTTGCGCTGCCTTCATGCGTTGTCTCTTTGCTTCAAACCTCTCTGTTTCCACCTCTGTGATGCGAGTAATCCTGCCTGCTTCCTCCTGCTCACATCAAGAGAGCGGGAGCGAGGAGAGGACCTGCATGTCTGTGAAATGGAGAGGAGGTTTGACTGCAGGGAAATAAATTCAGAGGCCCCTTCTTCCCCGCTTGTTGGCATCGTAGCAGTTGTGAGGGAGAGAGAACATGTCATTGTACGCAGAGCATTGTCGGTATACCTTTTTTTGGGATTGTTTTTAGATGAACATGTTCAGTTTAGAGTGTCAGATGTCTTCGATTGGCGGGTTCTGTTGGGTCATGAGTGGGTTTCGGTTTGTTTGGTGCTTTGAATCTGAAAAACATGAGATTGCTGACAGGTGTTCATTTTCATAATCACTTCTGTCCCAGTGTTTTTCTAGCTCTGAACTTACATACAAACCAAAACACCGAAACACTTAAGCAACACACTTAGAGATTCTGTTAGCATAGCATCTGTTCTCTATGTTTTCTTCTCTATGTCGTGATTGTTAATGGTGAATATCTGCCAAAATGTAAAGATCATTAAGCAATGGGGCCAAAATACTTCTATTATGTTTAAATATCAAACACCAATAGAAATTAAAAATGAATAAATAAAAGCTTTAGGAATGACAGTGAAAAATAGCTAATTTTCATTGGAAATGTTGTATGTTTTTTGATAAAGCTCCGCCCACTTGGTCCTTAGACCAATAAGCCTGGCTCCTCCTATTCATATGCATTCATACATATATACGTTGTGTTGAAAACCTGTGGACAAAAAAAGCTGTGCCTTTTCTCTATGAAAGAAATCCAAAAAGATGTCTCGCACCACTGAAGGCATCGGACTGCACTGACTAAGCCACGCGTCCAATATTACCAGCGTATTTCGTTGGATCACAAGCGAGCAATACCTGGTGTGTGCAGGAATCCTGGAAGAAGCAGTACTGCTAAGAGCGGCAGTTGCATTTGATAATTGTTACATTTAACATAAATTTTGTATTAATTGCAGACTTATAGGGACTAACGCTATAAAACAACGTTGTAGCGAGACTCCTTGTAGAGATTCAACATGTAACCATTATCCCACCGCTCAGATATTCCTGTTTTTATACTCGCTGCCAATAGCGACGAGAATAAAATGAGTGAAATGAGTCTTCGTGTATGTTCTCAGAAGCCATCTCTCTTTTGTGCAGAAAATTCAATTTCTTAATCATTTTCCAGAAGCATTTCTTTTTGATTATTTGTTCAGTTTTAGATTTAGAATTTTATAAGTTTATATAATATTTTTCCCCACCTTGTGTTTGGTGTTTCAACATCAGCGAGGCTCAATCGTTTTTGATAGAATTAGTTTAACTACAGTTTTAAATTGACCTGAACATCAAGGTGCTTTTCTGACCCTGAACTGCAGCTTTGGTTAGATATCCAAACCAATTCTACTGCATGGTAGAATGTTCTCTCCGGGTACTCCGGCGTCCTCCCACAGTCCAAAGACATGCTCTGGGGATCAGACTGGAGACCAGTCCAGGGTGGACCACGTCTCTCGGCCAGAGTTAGCTGGGATGACTCCAGCCCCCCGAGACCCTGTATGAAGGATAAGTAGTTTGTAGATTAGATGGATGGACAGTGATCAGATTGAAGCTGATCACTGTCCTGTCTTTTGCAATTTGCAGGTCAACATAAATACATACAATCATACAATACAAAAGACCAATCATTTCATTGCCCTCTGGAAGCTCTTTCAGCATGTATTTTACTGATCAGCCATTTGTTAAATTGATTGTGTTTCAATGAAATAAGATTTCCGATCAATGAAACAATAGAATCTGAATTCTCTTAAGTACTTTCATCAAGGGGTTTTTGTGACATCACATAATAATTTCCCTGGTTGTAGGAGCCAAATGTTCACATCAAATGTCTTTATTTTATTCTGTACACTGGGTGGCGCTGTTCTTGGGTCCTGTGCGCACCTATATAATTGATTGGGTAACAATTAACATCAGGTGTTGGACCCAGAGAGCGGAAGGGTTTTGACCGCTGTCGCGGAAAGAGAGAGTTGGTTCCATTGGGAACAAAACATTATATGTAAGAAATAAACTAAGATTAACAACACTCAGAACGTGTCTATGGATTATGTCTGCAAGCCAAGATGAACGCAGAGGCGATTACGGCAGGCAGAACAGCGCGTCATACAGACCAATCCGGGGGGAATCCAGCACCACAGTAGCCCAGGTAAAAGGCTATTTTAATACTGGGTTTGGGCTATGAAATCTATGGATACACACACAAACAGACACACACACAAAATATCTGCAACAACACAACAGGTCTGATAGATTCGTGACAGAAATGGGATATAAAAAACGTGATGATGGTGAGCGGGCCGGACGTCACAGGTTTACAGATGATCTAACACTGTGATGTTTTTGTACTGGATGTAACTGAAGACATGAAAAACACACACATACACACACTCTGCCCAGGCTGCACCTGCTCTGAGTACAAACACAGCTTTAGACAGGGAATGCTTGCAATGTGTGTGTGGTTGGGTGCCATGACAACACTAAGAGGCCAAAAACAAAGTTCTTTTTGTGACAAAATGAACCATTGCTAAACAGCCTGCACAAGTACTGTGTATTTGTACCTGCAGACATGTGAGGTCCCTCATTACATTACATTACATGTCATTTAGCTGCCGCTTTTATCCAAAGCGACTTACAATAAGTGCATTCAACCATAGGGTACAAACTCAGAAGAACAAGAAACAAGATTTCATCATATAAGCCAATTTACAATTTGCCATAGATGAGTGGCGTTATAAGTACAATTTAAGTGCTACAATTTGTTAGTCTTTTAGTCGAGGTAGAGTCTGAAGAGGTGTGTCTTTAGTTTGTTTGAGATGTCAGTCAGACAGGCAGAGATCCGAGTGAGGGAAGGAGAGAATTAGTTGGGTGTCATCGGCATAGCTGTGGTAGGAGAAGCCTTGCGAGCGAATGACAGCGCCGAGAGAGTTGGTGTAGAGCGAGAAGAGGAGGGGATCCAGGACGGAACCCTGAGGAACTCCAGTAGTAAGAGGACAAGGTTCCGACACAGATCCTCTCCAGGTTACCCGGTAGGTGCGTCCGTTGAGGTAGGACGAGAGAAGGGAGAGAGCAGAGCCTGAGACACCAAGTTCCTGAAGGGAGGAGACACGGATCTGGTGGTTGACTCTGTCAAATGCAGCAGAGAGGTCCAGAAGGACGAGGACAGAGGACAGAGAGGAGCTCTAGCAGTGTGGAGTTGCTCTGAGACAGCGAGGAGAGCAGTCTCTGTGGAACGGCCTTGAAGCCTGACTGGTGGGGGTCAAGGAGGTTGTTATGGTGGAGATAGGAGGAGAGTTGGTTAAAGATCACACGTTCAAGAGTTTTGGACAAAAAGGGAAGAAGAGAGACCGTCTGTAGTTGTTTTCTTCAGAAGGGTTGAGGGTGGGTTTCTTCAGGAGAGGGTTGACTCTCGCCTCCTTCAGAGAATTGGGAAAACAGACAGATAACAGAGCATTGTTGATGAGACAGGTGAGGAAAGGAAGAAGGTCAGGTGCGATAGATTGTAGAAGATGTGATGGAATGGGGTCAAGAGGGCAGGTGGTCGGACGGGCAGAGGTTACTAGGGTAAGAATTTGGTTAGGAGAGAGGGGGGTGAAAGAGGAAACTGAGGGCGATAGAGGTGAAGCCGGTGGGATGCAAGACGTAGGAGGTGGGTTTGAGAAAGAGGAGCGTATGTCAGCTATTTTCTTCGTAATTTATATTTACGCAGTCTCCCGGAAGATGCTCGCATGGTGGCTCTCATGGCACCGGTTGAGACAGCCACGGAGCCGGAGGGGATTTGCCAGTCCGTCGGGTCGTCAGAGGGCAGAGAGAGTCTAGAGAGGAGGAAAGAGTTGAGAGGAGAGTCGGATGCAAGAGTGAGAAGGAGTCGGTGGAAGGTAGAGCTGATAGAACAGAGGATGCCAGGGAGGAGGGAGAGAGGGAGCGGTCAGCAGTCAGTATCATTACATATATACTGTATATACTTATAACATACGTCCATCCCCCAACCCCAACGCTACATTAACCAGGGAGCTCTGCTGAAGTTTGAAGCTTCCATTGCTTGTGTCGTGTTACTTTTGTCACCATCGACTTGCTGTAGTCGTTCCTCGGTCCGTACTGATACAAACAGATACTATGTGCTTTGGCCACTGTGTAAAGAATCTAAAAACAAAGAGGTTCTACCAAAGCTGCAGTGTTATTGGTACAAAATCCTGGTGTTTCCTGGCTAATGTTGAATGGCCAGCGTACATATCGCATATTGTACCATATATATGCTAACTCTATCCCGGCCTATGCAAAATGTCAAAGCTCACGAAGAAAAGCAACCAGAGGCTATAGGATTCTCCAACATCGCTCACTCCATGCTGGAAAAACCGTCCAACTAAATTCTGCCACTTGCATTGAGGTCTAATTCGTTGTCTAATTTGAAAGTTTTCCTGAGGTCGTTGCTTGGCAGGTGGTGCTTTGTGGGCGGGGCTTGGTATGGCTGGCTCTCAAACTTTCTTATATTACAGCTAAAAATGTTCTAAAAATATTTCAGGAAGGGACAGTATGTTCAATAATATTAAGCAACTGTAACTTTAATGGACTAAAAGCTATTTTGTTTGTAGCCTGTGTGATTTGCAATGACAGTGAAGCGACAAACACACACACACACACACACACACACACACACACACACGCACACACGCACACACACACGCACACGCACACGCACACGCACACACACACACACACACACACACAGCATCTGATAACATTTGTGTCAAATGAGTGATGGTAGGTGAAGGGTTGATATTTTTTGATATTTCCATCTTTTTTATATGTTTGGCTGATGTTTTTAGACCACTCCTATAAACGAAAGCACGCAGCTTGATTCGACTTTTACACTTTCAAAGAGGTTCCAAGTGTCATTTCAGCCTCTTAGCTTGTTTTTTCTCTAGTTTTTTCACATTGAGAGCCTTCAAGCACTCTGTGCTTGATGTGTGTGATGTTCAAATTTGGATATTGAACATGTAAAAAAAGGCTTCTCCTGCACTGCCGCTTTTGCCCTGGTGAATTCAGAAAGATTTCAAATGCCATTTTCGCATTTTGCTGCCCCTCCGATTGCTTCTGTTTGAAAAAAAGAGAAGTCTGTTTTCTTTCATCTTTGTTTCGCATTCCTTGCAGAGGATGGGTATTTTTCTTTTAATGAATTCCTTTCTCCCCCCCACCCTCTGCTCTCCCGTCTCCCTGCGCTGCAAGTTTTGATATTGTTGTTTGTCAAATTTAGTTTGCTGAGTTGATGATTTACTTTCGAGAAACAATTAAACGTCACTTGAGAGGAGAGCGTGGGATGTCTTTGTAATCAAAAGGAAATTAGGCATCAGTTGCTAACATTAGCAGGTTGCACAGTGTCGTCTCGCTGTTGTTTTTCTTTGTTGGTGTTTTTCTTCCTTTAGATATGATTGTTTTAGTTAATTTGTTGTTCAGGCTGATTCTGAAGCTCGTCCTCAGAGCTTTGCTAATGCTGAATGAATAAACAGTAATCTATACATCAGATTATCCCCCCAAAATGGCTTTAATGGAACCTTGAAAATGAAAGTAAAAGTAAAATGATATATGTGTCTGACACACACACACACACACACACACACACACACACACACACACACACACACACACGCGCGCGCACAGACGCATTTCTAACGGAGACACTAGCTCCAGCCATTGAACTGGCTTGTGAATGTAACGGATTTTACCCAGAGAGAGCTTATATTAATATTTCCAGCACACTCTTTTAGACATTTAAAGAAGACATCATTTTTATTTGATCTTGATATTTTTATCTTGAAAGAAGCCTGCTTATTATCAACAATTGATTCATTTCCCTTTACTGTTACATTTGGTTGGGTTGTGAGGGGAGATTAAAGGCTTGAGGAGGTTTTGGAATATTGTCACGTTGTCTGGATGTTCTCATGTGAGAGTTTTTATCTGATTTAGTTTAGATTTAAATAAATCCTGTTTTTCATTCATTATTGTCAATTGTGTATTTCCACAAATTTGCGGTTTGATAGTATGAATTAGCATTAGCATTTTCAATTTAGTTTAAGAAAGCTAATTTTGTGAATGAATTAAAAGATCTTCTATTATATTATGCTTTTTTTGTTTTTTACGTTAAAGGAAATATTACTCACTACATTTTTATGTTTCTGGTTTATGCAATTCCACGGTTGTTTCTTTTAGTTACATCATATCCAAAAATCAGACATATCATTTTTGTATGAATATCACCTATAATTTATCCCCTAGAATCCAACATGGGAATTGTGAAAGTGTAAAAGTCTCAAACAAATAAGTTATTAAAATCACAGCTTTGCACTAAAATCTCTAAAAATCTATTAAATATTATTACAAATGCATTATCTTAAACAAATTTAAAATGTCCTGCTCAAATGCTTCACTAAATCTTCTGCACAAAACAAAAAAGAAAAACATTTATCATCTCAAGACAAAGCATTTATTTAAAACAGAGATGAAGCTGCAGAGATTAAAAAAAATCTTAATTTTTAAAAATCTCATTTTTACCTGAAGCTCATGATTTAGTATTTTTAGCTTTAATCTAGAAGATCCAGACTGAGAGGTTTCATCTTCAGCTCCCTATCAGCCCCAGCCTTTATAAAGCAGACGTTGATGTCCTCCGCTATCTTTTCAAGAAACAATCCTGGGGTTGAATTTTTTTTGTTGTTTAAACGGAAGTATTTTCAAACCCTGAACCGATTAAATCCTGTCAGCGATCTGACCGGGGCGATCTGCTCCCCTCCCTGTTTATTTCCTCCAATCGCCCTCTCTCTCCCCCCCTCTCTCTATCTCCCTCCCTCTATCTCTCTCACTTTCTCTCTCCGGTCCGATGTGGTTTTGTTTAAAGTCGACAGCGTTAATTGAATTACGCCAGGTCTTGCAGAAGGCACAGTAGGAGAGCCGGCGGTCCCTGGTGGGCCGCGGGTGGAGGAGGGATGGGTGGGGGTTAGGTGTATGTGTGTGTGGCGGGGTGTGGGGGTGTAGTAGGGAAGCGGTTTTGGTGAGCCATACTGGCCCCTTCAGGCAGACCCAGGTACCACAGAGGAGCCACGGACCCCGGCAGTCGCTCACTGTTAAACCCACAGGTTCCGATGGCATCACCTGCTGTGTGTGGACAGGCTTGCATTTGTGAGCAAACCTTTGACCGTGTCACATTTGAGAGATAGTTATCAATTCTTTGTGTTCTTACATCAGCATTTTGGTGTTTTGTTTTGATTTCAACAGTTATCACACTCACCACACAAACTGTCTAATTAAAAAAAAAACAAGAAGTATTGATTTAAAATACACTAAAAAAATCTGAAATTAAATAAAAAGCAGAGCCTTTAACTTTAGTTGAGTCTGTAAAAAGGGAATTCAATGCAGTAAAATCACTTAAAAAGGAAGAAAAACACACAATGACCTCACCACCTCGTGTGTGAAGTGCTGAAAATGGAGAGTGTGTGTTTGTTAGCATGCTGCTCAAATTAGCAATGTTGCGCCGGGCCTTGGCAGAAGATGAAATGAGAAGGAGGCGGAAGGAGGGGTGAGACTGGAGAGCCTTCATTTTCAGCTTGACATGTAGAGACACAAAATAAAAAGATGTCCTCGGACCAATCTTATTTTGTTAAAGC